ATCTACTAACGGTCGTTTCATAGGTCCAGGAACATGCTTCTTGGTTCGCACCATTATTCCAAACCTGTAAACCAAAAACACATGTATTCGGAAAAGGGGGAAACACAACACAATGAAGAGAACTAATATTCAGAACTTTCAACATATAATATTAATCTAGCTGCAGACAAACAATTTCAATGAATACATCTAATATTCAAAATCAGAAGAACTAGTATTCGCCAAAGAACAGTCAACATTATACAACTAATATTCAAATCCAGAAGAATTAATATTCGCCAACAACACATGCAACATTATACAACAATACTCAAATCAGAATAACTAGTATTCGTCAACAACACAGTCAACATTATACAACTAATATTCAAAATCAGAAGAACTAGTATTCGTCAACAACACAGTCAACATTATATAACTAATTTCAAACCACAAATCACTAGTATTCAACAGATTGAAGGTTACGGTAACAACTACTTTTGGATTCAACCATATTTACTAATTCTAAGCAAGAACCGATTCTAAGCAACAACCCAAAAACTTAGTCAACAAAAAATTCACATATCTCGCCCACCCACACAAGACACATTCTGAAGAATACCCTTAAGAATCGATTCGATTTTGAAGCTGTACCAAAAAAACCTAAACGCGTATTTAATAAACCCTAAACAACAAAGAATGAAGCAAAAAGGGGGATTCAAGGGAAAACCCACACCTAGAAAGAAAATGTCAGAGAGAATCATCCTCACCGGAGCAAATATGCGAGAAAGGTCGGTCGAAATACCCAGACCCGAGGAAGGACGATTCGCTCTCGTCGAGGCTCTCCTGGTTATCGACTGCGCTGCTCGTTGGCTGAATGAACCTCGTCGTCCTCGCTTTCCTTGTTCCGATGTCCTTCTTTCTCGTCGACAAGAGATCTGTGTTTGGGTAGGGAGGTGTGCTCTCTGATTCTGCTTCGACGTGAGCAAAACAGAGAAAGAAAACGGAGAAAGAAGAAGAAAAGAAAACGCAGAGAGAAGGAAGAAGAGCGGAGGAGGTGGTGCGGTTGGAGAAGACAGTTTTTTTTAATTTTTTTAATTAAAATGCCCGCTGCCCCGACCCAGCCACTTTTCCCTCCCTCCAATTTTTGGCTCGGCTGAGCCGATTTCGCTTTTCCCCTTTCCTCTCTTACGCCTAGCTCGCTCAATTCTGGCCCTCTATTACTGGCTTGGGCGACGTGGCCCTCTCCCGGCCGTGTGAGTTGCTGCACACAAAACTTGTTGTGTCTACCATAGCGAAATTGTTTAGCCAGTACCTCGTTCAATAAATTTTGGACCATCTATGTAATTTTATATTTTTATAATGGTGAAACAGTATTATAAATTTACAAATTTAGATTCCGAAACACTAGAGGAAAGACGCATCAAAAAACAAATATAACAAATAAAAGGCCACCAAACAAATGCTCCATCATCTAAGATCCATCCAAAGCAAAAAATCATAACAGAACATTCTTCCTCTCCTTCATAGATCTGTTTCACCTTATGCTGCTTTACTTTAGTCATTGTCAATGGTTAATGAAACATGTCCAAATGGAAAAAGTAATGCCAATAGATATGGTATTGTCTATATCGCTGCTTCACCAGATGAAAAAAATCGAGAGATTCGAGCTCCCTTGGCGTTCCGTGATCACCAAGCTATCAAATGAACCCTCTTTCTTTCTGTAGGAAACAAAAACATGAAACACAAAAACAGAACAACTTGATATGTTACCATGTGAAGCTCATGCTTTATCTGTTGACTTTTGTGTGCAGTAGCTCTGGTATGTCCTTGATCAAATTGCACCCAGAGACGTCCAAGTAAGTTAGCAATTTCAATTCGTCAATTCGCTTTATCTCCACCAACTTCTCACAATCCTTCACAGAGAGCAACAACAAACTCCTGAGACTAGAAAGGATCGACAACTTCTCAATAGACTTGCACCCGCCCATGTCCAGCATTTTTAAACACTTCAGTTGTTCAACTCCCTAAAGCTCGCTTAAGATCTCACAGCCCCTTGCAGTTAGCCTCACTAACTGCCGGAGACTTGAAAGACTTGGCAACTTCTCGATCGACTTGCAGCCATTCATTTTCAGCTCATCAAGTGACTCTAGACCTTCAAGCCCTGGTAGCTCTGTCAGTTTCTCGCAGCCAATTATATGCAAAAGATTTAGATGTTTCAGCTTCGAAATGTTTTCCAGCCTCTCGATGGATATGCATCCACACATTGTCAACATTTGCAGCGACTCCAGTCATCCGAGTCCCAAAACTTCAGTTAAGTTTACACAATCGTCTAGAAATAGTTTCTCCAGACACCGGAGATTGGCAAGACTTGATAACTCTCCAAGCGACGTGCAGCTCTCAAGATTCAGCTCTTTCAAAGAATAGAGCCCTACAAGTCCCGAGAGCTCGCTTAGACTTTCACAACTGCTGAGTGACAGTTTCTCCAATTGTCTGAGATGTGAAATGTTTCGCAAACTCTCGATAGACTTGCAGCCATGGATATCCAGCACTTTTAATGACTCCAGTCCTTCCACTCCTGGTAGATCTTTCAATTCCCAGCAATCTCTTAGGGCTAGAAGCGACAAGCTTTTCAGAGTCCAAATGTTTGGTAGCTTTTCAATTGACCAGCAACTGTTCATCGACAATGACTCCAACGACTCGAGTCCTTCAACTCTAGTAACCTCAACCAAACTCTGGCAGCCATCAAGATCTAATTTTTTCAGGCTCTTCAGACTAGACATGTCTAGTAATCTTTCCCGGGAACCACAACTGGGAAGCTCCAGAGTCTAGAGCAAGTGCAAGCCTTGGAGACTCTGAATCTCCAGCAAACCGAGATTCTTCTTCCCAGTTAACTGCTTTAGTTTAGTCAGCTTTGATAGAGAAGGCAACTGTTCCAGGTCTTCCAAGGATCCAATGCCCCCAATACTCTGCAAGCTCTTGCACTCGCTAAGAGTCAAATCTCTCAGCTTTGACAATGTTGAAAGGTCGGGTAAACTTTGCAGGGATCCACAGTCTTCGATCTCTAGATGCTTTAATGACTCCATTTCACCAAGGCCTTGGATTACAGTGAGGCTGGAACATTGGAAGATGGTCAGTGTTTGTACCTTATTTAAAGCAGCTAGACTGGGCAGTTTTTTCAGTAATGGACACTGAAGCACTTCCAAGACTGTCAAAAGTATGAGACCTTGAAGACCTTCTAGATGATTTAAGCTTTCCCCATCTGTTACTTCCAAATGTACCAATAATTTGAGCTCCCCGAGTCCTTGAATCTCGTAGACATCGGGATAGCACAACATAGTTAATTCTTTCAGGTTCTTCAAGAGGGTGAGGTCTGGCAACGCCTCTAACGATTGACAATGACGAAGTGAAAGCTTGTTCAGAGATGGTGGAAGGGCAATCTGATAGAAACCCAATTTCCGGGTTTTACCATAATTATCATAATTACTATTATTAGGATTTATTTAGATATGGTTAGTAGTCTTTGGGTTATATTAGGATAGTCTATTAGGTTTTCCCGGTCTTAGGCTATAAATATGTATTCTAGGTCTTTTGTTCAACTAAGCAGAAATTAATAGAAAAGTCATCCTTCCCCAAAGCCCTAATCTCTTTCTCTCTCTCAAATCTCATCTATCCTTCTCTCTCGAGGCTTCGGCCGTTCTTTTTGTTCTTCCCCAATTCTGTTCCTAATCCCCAATTCTCTTCTAAATCCCTAATTCTATCTCTAAATTCCTAAATTCCCAATTTCCCAACCCAACCGATAGAACCCTAGAAGCAGGTTTCTATCATTTGGGATCAGAGCCTGGTCACGAATCTGAGTTCGTCAAAACTCTCAACCAGGGACGAACGTGTGTTTGAAGACCTCGAACCAAGCATCACTAGGACGGAGTATCGTCGGCATGTTCGCTTCTCCTTCTTCTTGCCTGGGTTCGAGAGAGAGCACATAGAGGTACAAAGAACGACATTGAATGAGCTGATTATTACGGCCGAGCATCCATTGGGTTATGACCATAGATGGATCCGTTTCAAGAGGCACATCGAACTCGAGGAATTCTACGATGTTGCACACTACAGTGCTGGCTTCGGATTATGCAATCTCAAAGTCCGGGTTCCAAGGATAACTCCCCCAGTTGTAGCCGAAGAAGATGATCCGTCCGTGAAAGACGTCAGCGACCAGCAGCCGCTTCCGACGACCACCGCAAGGCTTCCTGATTCGCTGCTTTCAACCACCGCCACCGTGAAGGTCGAGAAAGCAGCTGCAGTAGCGACTGCTGTTCCAGTGACATCCCCATCATCGCTAGACAATCCTTCACCACTCTAGATAAAGGAGGAAGAGAAACCCCTGGCGGCAGAGCCGCCGAGCACAGAAGAAATCGCAATAATCGTCGCTATGAAGACCAATGAACGAAATCTTGCGGATGAGAGGTGGAAGTTCCGGAAAAAGAAGCAATTATTGAGAGATAGCTTTGGGTGCAAAGTTACCCAACCCACTGTAGCTTCTGGGGAAGTTGAAGAAAAATGTGACGCTATCTCCGAAAATGAGAGAGTCTCCGCCACCAAAGAAGGAATCCGAGCCGAGGGTTTGGGATCAATGCGGGGTCATGTGACGAACTGGCGGTATAGGAAGAAGGAGCCCAGCGTGAGCGTTGGGGTCAATCGACAACGTTAGACAGAGCGTGACTGCCGAGATCTATCGCGACCAGTGCGACTCGAGAAGAGGGCGCAAGCAGTGGAGAAGCGATGATCAAATTGCGCGAGAAGGTTGAAAGAAATGGGTCAAGTCGGTCAACCTTGAGGGCAAGGTTGGTCTGAAGGGGGAGGAGATGTTAGAAACCGAATTATCTCGGGATCTTATATTTATTATTATAATTACTATTAGGGTAATTCTTATTATGGTTAGTAGTCTTTTGGTAGAATTAGGTTTATTCTTAGGATTTTAGTGATTTTCCTATATATATGTACTTTGGGTCATTCGTCAGATTAGGCAAAAGTTAATAAAAAAATTATCTCCTTAATCCATCTCCCTATCCTCTCAATTCTTGACCTGAATCCCTCTAAAGGCTTAGGCTGATTCTCTTATGACGGCTCTGATCTAGGGTTCTATCGGTTGGGTTGGGAAATTGGGAATTCAGGAATTTGGGTATAGAATTGGGGATTGAGATTGAGAATGATACCAGGCGAGGAGCGATGACGGCTCCCGAAGCGATGACGACCGCGGAAGGAGCATAGTCGTGGGCGAGAATGGGAGTGGCCTGGCTTGCGCGCCGTCGGAGGGATTGTCGGCCGCCAAGGAAAGAGAGGGAGAAGAAGTATCCGCAGGAGGAAGCACTGGGAATGAGGCAGGAGGTGGAGTGGCGCTGTCTGTGTAGTAGTCCGACGCCGATGGTGGAGACGAAAACCAGGGAGGCAGATCCGGAAAGCGGTGTTGTTCTCCTCGAAGCGACGGCGGACTGGAAGTTGAAATTGAAGGCGATGGCGGAGCGAGGCTCGCCTCGCCGCTGTTGGATGAGCTGTCGGCAGCCGGAAATGGAGAAGGAAGATGGAGGCGGTGCGTTTCCTCGCGCACCGTTAGAGAAGATGAAATCGTCGGCGAAGGTAGGCGGCGCGACGAGGAAGAAGAAGATGGAGGAGGGTGGCGGCTGGTTTCCTCGTTGCACAAACCCTAGGTCGCTCACATGGGGTCGAGTTGGGCTGAGGATGATTCAACCGGGCCAAGCAATGCGGGCCGAGTGGCCTGTGGGAATAACTCTCATGTCAAAGAAGAAAAGAAGTGGTGGGCCGGATCTGGTGGAAAAGTTGGGCAGCCTAGGGCTATGGCAAGGCCCGAACGCAGAAGAGGCAGTGGGCTTCACCATTAGCTGTGAGCCTCATTTTTTTTTGGAGCATTGGGCCACCATTAATTGAGACGATCAGAACAATTTTATGGGTGGACTGGGAGGAAAATGACGATGGTTTTGCTAGCTTATTTGGTGGACTGAGCATGCCAAGAATTAAACAAGTTTTGGCAGCCCATGGACCAATACTTGGGCCATTTATGAGTTGTCTTACATGGACCATTTATGATTTTCCTTAAATTATTCGAGTTTGAAGTCAACAATAGAGGAGCCATTGAAGTTTCAGAGTGTCAACGAAGCAAAGAGTGGGCCCCTGAGAATGAAATTCGAAGAGTTGGACCAGTATGATGAGAGTGGTGCAAGAAGCCCAAGTGAAGATTTAGAGCATGATTGGAAGAAAAGGAAGCGGATGAAATGGAGAAGCCAAGGCGTGGAGAAGAGGATCGTTTCGGTAAATCTTGAGAGCAAGGTTGGTCTCAAAGGGGAGGGGATGATAGAAACCCAATTTTCGGGTTTTACCATAATTACTATTATTAGGATTTATTTAGATATGGTTAGTAGTCTTTGATTAATATTAGGATAGTCTATTAGGTTTTCCCGGGATTAGGCTATAAATATGTATTCTAGGTCTTTTGTTCAACTAAGCAGAAATTAATAGAAAAGTCATCCTTCCCCAAAGCCCTAATCTCTTTCTCTCTCTCATATCTCGTCTATCCTTCTCTCCCGAGGCTTCGGCCGTTCTTTATGTTCTTATCCAATTCTGTTCCTAATCCCCAATTCTCTTCTAAATCCCTAATTCTATCTCTAAATTCCTAAATTCCAAATTTCCCAACCCAACCGATAGAATCCTAGAAGCAGGTTTCTAACACAATCTGCAGACTTATGATATTAGTCTCACAGAGTTCCAAAGTCTTTAACTTGGATAATCTCCATAAATCTTGAGGACTGTCGACACCATGCTAAGTATAGAACCCCAACTCTTCTAAGTGTATCAGGTTAGAGAGATTGGGAACCAGAGATGAGACTATTAGCTCCTTTATATCAGTAGGAAGGTACAACACTGGGAAGTCTTTCCGAGATATGATTTTGAAGGTTTTAAGAGATGGTAAGCTCCCAATGTCATCAGGAACTTGTTCCAAGTTCTTGCATTCCCAGGCATCTAGCTCCTTAAGCTTTAGAAGCATTCCAATGCGTCCAGTTATCTTCGTTATTCCACAGTAGCTGAGCTTTAGCTTCTTCAAGTTGCTGATCTCGAGTTCTTGAACCATGTCACGACATCCATGAAGATTTAATATCTCCAGACTTCCGTGTGGAGAAAGATCAGGAACTTTGGTTAAGCTGTAGCAAGTAACAAGGTTTAGAACTTTCAGCTTTATTGCCATCTGTGAAACAAGACAGAAATTAGTTTCTCAGAAATACGAGGAACATGTGTGATAAGCATATATGTAATAAAGAGAAATGTTCAAGGGAAAACCTTGAGTTGGTCCCAGCCTTGCCATTCATCTCCTATATGATTGTCATGTATATCAAGAATTACCAATTTCTTCAGGTAAAAGTTAGTTGGGGCTGAATTTCCTTGAAGGCGACTTAATCGTAACATCTTAAATCTGAAAGAAGTTCATCAAAATCCCCGACAAAGTCGGCATGGTGACATTCAAGATATCTCAACTCTAACAATTTCCTAAAATGTTGATCCGTAAGTGAAAATTTGTTAAATAAGTTCACTTTAAGGGCTTTGACATGCTCTGATCCCTGTAAAAAAGAAGAAAGAAAAAGAAATGACTGGACAATACTAGTGTCATCATAAACCAGCATTGAAATTAAGATTCAAGAACCAACCACTTTCCTGTAACGCTCTGAACATTCCTATTAAGAACTTAAGAAGAAGAACTATGGATTTCTAGGTCTTTACTTCCATGTGTACCATACCTTCTTGTTGAAGTTCTTAATCGGAATGTTCGGAGCGTTTGTATCATACCTAAACAAATAAACATAGGCTTTCTAAGTCGTTATGCTCATGTGTATCATACCTTCTTGATGTCCAACATGTCCAAGGCATCCTCGTGAAACCAAACCCTACTACGCTTCCAAATATGCTCAACATTTTCTTCACGAACAATTGCTCTGCCTAGATCTCTAAGTTGATCGTGCATCTTAAACTTATTCATTCCAATTTTTATCATGGACCTAAGCATAAGGACATTAGTCCCACTGACTGGGTATAATCTACAATCATTCCACATATAAGATGCCATTTCTCTGTTCTCTCCGTTGAAGAAACAAGCAATATCAAGAAAGATCTGTTGCTCCTCATATGTCAATGCATTGTAACTTATCTTCAAATTTCCCAAGACCTCAGCGGGAGGGATCTCTTTTAGTTGCATCAATGTGTCCTCCCAGACCAGGCTATCTTCGCCATACAAAAGCGACCCCACAACTTTAAGTGTCAAGGGAAGTCCTGCTGCAACTGAGACAACCTGTGCAGACAATCTTGCATAACCTTTTGGAGGAGAATCCACTCCAAATGCATGTTTGCTGAAGAGCTGAAGCGAATGGTCGCCACTCATTTCCTCAGGTTCATATAGCTCACATTCCTTTGTCGAAGTCAAGACTTTCTTATTCCTTGTTGTGATGATAAACCTACTGCCATGGAAAAACATATTGTATCTCCCAAGATCTTTCCAACTTCAAACTTATCACCCACATCATCTAGCACGATGAGCACTTTGTGATGACAAACTCTATCCTTTATCACCCCAATCCCTTCACTAGCATCTCTCACTGGAGGGCCATCTCTTGTAATGCTAGAGATTAACTTGTTTTGCAAAGTCACGATACCCTCATGTTGCAATAATGTTGTAGACACCCCATTTTTTCCGGGTAAATTATCCAAACTTAAATCGTGAAATGCCGCAAGTTAATTAGATTTGCCATTGCGAGTCTAAAACATCAGCGATTGTACAATTTATTTGAATTCGATTCCAATTGATCTAATAGGACCGATTGGCTTCCAATTTATGCTTTTGGCACAACACAAAAAAATACAGAAGAAAGTTTTATTTAAATTATCAATAAATTATATAATTACAATCAGAATACAAATTACAAATAAGAATTACTACATGAAAATTACAATCAATACATGTTGCTTCCATCTCTTTCGAAGCCAACCATGGACCTGCAACAAAGGGAAATAGGGTCAGTTCAAGCTCATATCAAGCCTAAAATCCAAGTTCAAGCCCAAGCTACAAGAGTAGAGCCCACAAGTGAGCCAACCAAAAGCTGAGCCAGCCCACAAGCAAGGTCAAGGCTCGGTCAAGGCCCAATTCCAAGACAAGCCCACATGGTCAGAAACAACCCGGCCAACTCAGAAGCTACCAAATCCAATAGACCGGTCGGACCAGAATTGGTCTAGCCAAACCCAGACACCACCACCTCATTTTTCTATAAAGGAGGTCCAATTCTCAAGGAATGGGGAGCTTTTCGAGAAGGGGGAAAGACTGGGGAAATACTTTCTCTTCTTGTCAGTTTAGAGTTCTTCCTCTTTTAAGTCGGTTCTGGGAAAATAGAGGGAGAGAGAGAAAATTCTTCATTTTTATTTTCCTTGTGATAGAAGCAGAAGGCTTCCAGGTGAGTTGTAAAGGTTAATCATCAATCATCTTTTTATCAACATGGCTTCCTCTATGGCTCTTTACTTCATAGTTACTACTCTATTCTACTTGTCAAGCTAACTATATTGATTCCATCACTACTGTTATTGTCATTATTCTTATTATTATTACATAATAAACTAAATCCTACAAGTGTTTTTAAGAAGAAAAATGAATCTCCAATCAAACTACATGACCCAATTGATTTAAAAGAGTAATTGAAAATGACCGATCCCAGATTTACTGTTCTAGCTCCTCCATTCAGCTTTACTTTACTTTTCCATTCCATTACTTATTCCAAGAACATTTTCTATATGAGTTAAACTGACCTATAGTTATATTAAGCTTATTCCAATTTACTTATTGCTGCCATTTACTTGTTGTATTTCTATTTACAATTTCCATAATGTTATATACTTTCTTGCTTAATTTATGTCATTTCCATGACTGCACATAGACAAAAATAAATCATGCGTATGGAATAAAAACTAAATCTCACATAATCATCACAAACCCATCTACAAAACTACCGACACAGAATAACCCAAAAATCATATCGATAAGTTCATATTCAGAATCACAAACACAACCATTTTCCCTTCAAACTCAGATCTATGGATCATTCTCAAATCTGCAATAAAACCGTTTTTTTAGTTTAAACCCCCTAGCCATAGTGAGCCCAGTATAGGCAAACCTACCTCGATCTGTTCCCTTCCAAAATCCTGTATAGAATAAAACAAGTTAAAACTCGATTTAAGTCTCTAAATCAAGCAAACATGGGATGCATGTCCGATTAATCTTACCAAAGGTAAGATCCCCTCGTCACCATCGTGTCTCTAACCAGAATCAAAGCCTTCCCCTCGGTTTAGAGTCAATTTCCAAAAAAAACAAGAAATAAGGGTAAGAACTCCAAAACCTTAAATCAAATCTGAAAGAAACCGAACATGCAAACAAAAAAAGCGAACCTCTAGGACTCCCTAGCCGTCGTTGTCGTCGTCATCGGCTGCGCTTGCCGTCGTTTGCCGCCGGCGACGCGCCCCTTTTTTGCTGTTTCCAGAAGTAAGGTAGAGGAGAGGGTGTCGGCGGCGATTTGCTTGGGTGGCTAGGGTTCCGCGGTGTTTTCTTTGAAGGAGAAGAAGAGACAGGCGAGTGAGGTTAGGAGAGAGGAGAGAGCGGCGTTTAGTTAGGGTTTTGGTTGGTTTTGGACAGAGGGACGAGAGGCAGCGGAATGGAGGCTAGGGTTTTCGTTTGGTTCTCTGGAAGAGAGGCGAGAGTTAGAGGGGTTTGAGAGAGAGAGAGAGTGAAGTGAGAGGCGGCCGTTTTTGGTTTGATAAGGTTAGGGTTTCCATTTTCAACTTAAGAGGCGAATTTATACTCACCCGAAAAAGACTAACTTACCCCTAGGGCTTCGCTTTAACTACACTCCCTTGCCACCACATTTTTGGCCATTTACCAAACTGCCCTTCCCCCTTTAGCTGGGCACCAAAAAGAAAATCGGTAAAAAATGGAGCTTGCGCGTTTCAAACCCACATTCTCGAGTAGAACTCGACCTAAGACCACCTTAGCCAGGTTGGCTGCTGGCACGTTATGTGTCAACTTAATCATCCCATTCAATTTTATTATTTAATATCCCTTAATACGAAATGTTAAGATGCGGATTAAGTTTATCTCATTGCTTGTCCAATACA